GCGGCGGGCGGCGGCCGTACGGCGTGTGCCGGGGGCCGGGGCAGAGCTGCCCCCCTGCAGAGGCTCGTGGCCCAAGCCCACAGCCCCTCTCTGCCCGCCGTTGCCTGGGACAGGACCTTCCCTCTCACATCACCGGAGTGTGTACGGTGCATACAGCCCAGCGCAGACCCCGAGGGGAACTTGAGGAACCCGGAAAACCGCTCTGGTCCCTACCCCATGCACACCTCTAATGCGAACGCACAACCCTCCCCTTTCTCACCTGCCTTTCACCTTCTACCCTGCCTTTGCCACAAACGTTTCTCCACCCCCAGCTTCCTTTCCTCTTCCCTCACAGCTCTTCTTCCTCCCCTACCCCAGCCACCTTCTTCCCCTTGGTTTCCCCAGTCTCTCCATCATCCCCCTCTTGCCCTTCCCCATACACACATGCTCCCTGGCTTCTTCCACCTACTATTTGTTGCTTTGCTTCTCTTGCCCCCAAACCCTGTTCCCTTCAATGCCATCCCACTTACCCTACCCCATGGCTTGATGTTCTCCATCCAGCCCCATCCTCCAGGTCTCCTTTCTCTTAACGTCCCTCTGCCCCCCTGTGCACATACCCTGCTCGCACTCCGTGCCCACACACTCCCAGCCTTCGTTTCAAACGAGAGGTCCCCTCGGTGTAGCTGCCCTACAGGTTTCATGTGAGTAGAAGTTGCTAAACGTCCTGCCTGCTGAAGGACAGGAGGCAAGAGCAGAAATCTCAAAGGGGAAGGGTGTGCTGACGCGATAAGGGAAACAGAACAAGTTAGAGACCGCAGGAGGGTTTCTAGGAGGCTCGCAGCTGCTGTCTTTGCCCTTCCAAGGAGGCATTAGTCTGCGCAGGATGGGATTTGAGCCTGAGACAGTCAACATGAGCCTCCATGAGCAGAGGAACCCCACTGGCACAGGCCTTGCTTAAGGAGATGCTGCCACATTGACGGTATGAAGCCTTCACAATGGCTAGGGCAACCCTCCAGCGCGCAGCGGGGGCTCGCTGATCTTCCGAGGAGCGCGGAGGGCATCTGTGACAAAGCAAAAAGCCAAGTCTAAGTCTCCATGGTGGAGACCAACACCACAGCTGCTAGAACTGACTTCTCCAAACCTCTGTTCCCTAGGGCTCCTCAGCAGCCTGGGAAGGCCAGACTGAGGGCTGTCCTCTTCCAGTCATGCAGCCAGCAATTTCAGGTATTTGGCTCAGGACAAGGTGAAAACCCCTTTGCCTTACAGCCTCCATTGTTCCTCCCCCTCCTGGGAGCATCTGATGGCTGGTGTGGACAAAAAAAAAACCTTTCTCCAAGGAATCTGGGCTTGTGCCGTCTACCCAGGGAGACGGAGCAGCTTCTGATGGCAGCACTGGTGGCCACAGCACGGCAGACACAGTGGATCTTAGTGTGCTCCAGAGACTCGGCACCACAGCCAGCAGGATGCACTTGGTGCCTGAGCTGCCAGCTCTGCCTGCCCAGGTCATCACCGGCAGCCCCGGGCAGCTGCCGGTCCTGCGCTGGGGGCTCTTCTGGTGATGCCAGCAAGCTGGTGTTCGACCTGGGACCGTGGCGTTGGAGCTTGTCTGGCATCCGCAGGGGACGTGCGCCTGATGCCGTGTGAGAGCAGCTAGAGAGGTGCTACAGCTCTGTCTTTTAGCACCGAATGGAGAGCAGTTTGGGGTGAGGAAGGCAACGTTCATCCCAGAAGCTGTGCGGTTGCAGAGCTTTTGCCTAGCAGCCTCTCCCGTCCCCTCTCGCCTTCCGGCCTGACCCTGGGGCAGACGTAGGGAGGGGGAAGCATCTGGGGTGGCCCCTCGAGGAAATTCCCCAATCCTCTTGGCAGCAACCTGTCTCCGAAGCATCGCGTTTCCCGCAGCCGGGACGGGTGCGGGGAGCCTTTCCCCCTTCCCCTCACCAGTGGGGCCGCCCGGGCTGCCCTCACTGCCGCGCCAGCCTGCTCCCAGCGGGCCCCAGCCCGGCGCAGGCTAATGGCCTCTCCGAAAGCCGATGGGTTTCCGGCACAGGAGAGCAGCGTGACTGCGGAGGGCGAGAGGCCCCTTTCTGCCATATGGTTCCCATTAGCAGCCCTGTGGAGTGTATGTTTACTGCTGGGATCACTGCACCGTTGCAAGAGGCTTTCCCAAAGGCAAAGTGTGGTGTGGGGGATCTGGGCCCCTTCCTCCTCCGTCCTGGGAGGATGTGGAGCATCCCCGGCAGCACGGCGAGGCACGGGCGGGGGCTCAACACCTCGGAGAGGCTGTCAAGCCTCTCCCCCAGGAAATCGTGGCCTATGCCGATTGCTGTGGGGCCTCATGTCCCCGAGGTCACGCACAGGATTAGTGCAGCCTACACACACGGGACAACTGCTGACCCTCCAGCTCCATGGCCTCTCTCAGCAGGACTGCACAGGGAGGAGGTGAAGAGGAGCTGGAAGAGCCCATTTCCTGAGCCTGGGAATCACCCAGCTCGCTGCCCAGCTGGCCCCTGTTTCTGCAGCCTCGGGGCCTCATGGCCAGTCCACGCCACGAAACAAAGCGTGGTGCAGAGTTGGCGTCAAACAGGCCAGCGCCAGAACTGGGCACAGCACTGCCAGCGTCCCCAGCGCTGCTTCATCTTCTCAAGCGTGGAAAGAGACAGCAAGATGCAGTTTGGGGAGGAGGATGGAGCGAGCCCAATGGTCATGGCTCCAGTTTTAGCCACGGAAGACCTTAATTCAGCTTCAGATCTTGGCTCCTTTTGTGGCTTCAAGCCAACCACTTGTCCTCACCAGTATCTGGGACCCAGGGCAGGTCGCTGCTGGCTTGCCGCAGGGTGGAGGACTCCAGGGAGCAGCGGCTGGGCCACTTCTGCAGACACCGCTACCCTGTTCCTCAGGTTTCTGGAGAGCAGCCCCACCACACGGACCTGCGTCTGCCTGCACCCCATGGCACGGAGCTACCTTCCACCAGCCTGCCCCACTAATCCGCTTTCCGTCCACGTTCTGCACCCGGATTGCCTCTTGAAAGGCTGCCAGCGGGCAGGAAATCTGCAGCCGAAATGCTGAGGGATGCTGACAAGGAGCAGTTGTGGGGAGGAACAGGCCTGCCTTTGTCAGGGCAACAATGGAGGACCCACACAAGCGAGGAGGGAGCCCGAGGGAAGCCCCTGCTCACCCGCTCTTGTCTCCCACCTTCATCCCTGCCTTGGCTTGCCTCCCCTGCAGAGTAGGTGCATGGCCCTGGAAGGACCAGGGCCAAGGGGGACAAGGCTGGTCCCCAGTCCCTGCCTCTCAGCGAGGGGGCAGATGGGGCAGGAGGATGCTGCCGGGATTCATCCATTTTCCAGATGCAGAAACTGAAGCACAGAGCAGCCCATTCCTGGACTATGGCCGT